TGGGCAAGACCCCTCTGGCTGGACCGTGTTTTATTATTCGATGGGCACGGGGAAGCAGTGAGATCAAAACCTTCCCATATCACGAAAGGTAGCTTGAGCTACCTGAGTTCTCCTTGCTTTAGCAAACATGTATTAAAATCAGGAGTTGGGATTGTGCATTGAATTTGGTCCTGTAAGAGATGATTCTGTTCGTCGGGGGGGCCTCCCTGGATCAAATCCCCCCTGCGCCGGTTCACGGCGTCATGGACTTCTACCAGGGTTACTTGTGATTGCCTGCTACCTTTCGTTCACCCCCTCCTCTCTCAAGTTCCTTCAAGAATCCGCTTCGTGCAGTACCATAGTGAAACAAGGCAAAGTGAAGGCCGCTCTATTCCATGCCTCGGATGGACAAAATGAAATTTGAGTCCTCGCCTGACATAGCCGATCTGAGGTGAGCGCGCACGCCGGGCCCGCAGGTGAAAAAAAGAGCGGCACGGTTTTGGGGTGATGCCCGAACCCCCTTCTCCGTCCAGAATTGGCACACCTTTGAACCTGTGGACAAGATTGCATAGGTAACAAGGCACTTGTCCGAGGTATCCAATAAATCTTGGGCCTCCTCTTCTGTCAAATACCTCGGAGAAGCTCTGCCTTGCGGTGCCATTCAGCTGCATAGAACCGTAATCCCCAAGTCAAGACACCACTCTTCAGCCCCCGAAGCACTGCTCAGAAATATAAACAATGCTTATTGAACATGTTCTGATGACTCGCAACTCAAAAGTATGTGTGCTAGTTCAAACAAAGCAGCGCAACCGACGCCAAGAGAGGCAACCATTTGTCGTGGGGTCAGCCTTTGCAAACTCAATCGTTTCCTCACATAGCCAGGCCACCACATATCTCGCCTCAGTGTGAGGCCCGACATGTAAACAAATTAGAAAACCCTACCACACACCCTTTAGGCGTCCACAAACTTTCTCAGTATGTGTTTGGGGGGAATTGGCAACCGGTGGTCAGAAAGAGCCTACATAGCATATAACATTCAATGCTTTGGCTGGAGGACACCCTGTAGGGATCCCCACACCTCTTCTCAGGAGGTCAAACACCAAAGCCAACAAGAAAGGCTAGCAGGCCTTATCGCCAAATTTTCTCAGATCTTTGTGCGCATGTGAATGATTGCGTATTAGTGCCAAGGGTTGTCAAACAAAAAACTCAAGCAATAGAGCCTAGATGCGTTCCCAGTTCAGGCCAGGGATGCTGCTTGGACTTAAGTCGCCACGGCTTCAGCTTCGGCATGGAATGCCTCAGACTTCACGGGTGAAGTAGTCATCCCCAATTGTTCATCACCATAAATACAACAACACTCACATACCAATATTTCAGGAAAACGTGTGACATGTGTTGGGCTTTTGGGGTCTGCAAGTAAGCAGCGCGAGCTTGTCGAAGGCAGTTTGTCAAAAGACATGCATCGCTTAAACTCAAACCGCTTGTTAAATCAAATTAGGTGAAGCGCTGAACTTTGTGTGTGTGCGAGCCCATGACCGGAAGGAGTCATAGCATATGAGAAGCCTGTCTGCTTCACTGAGGCCCAATCCACCAAACACATTGTACTCCAAGAGTTTTTCAGGATAGACCCCACATATCCATAGGTCAGCGCCCAAGTTGGTCGTATGCATGACATCTCATTTCACCGTCACCGTCTTGAAAGATGGTCAACGGAGTAGTGGGCCTTGGCTGGCAATGTTAGCAAATCCGCAAGGCCTGTTTGCACCACGCAGCAAATGAAGGTAAACAACAAAATAAACTAATACAACCTGTTCTGTTCAATGAACCAAGTGTAGTTTGAACACCTCTCTTGACAAATTCCAAGAGAAAACTCTCCGTGTTGTGGCGGAACTTGGTGTGTAGCAATGCTGGGGCCTCAAAAAATTTGGGCACAGTGGCCTTGCAACAGTGGCATATCATATATCTCATTGCAAAGGTAATACTTCTGGAGCTGTAGCCACTCCTTGCGCATGATATTTTTCCCGAATGCGTAGCGAAGGGTTCTCGTTTAGAGCCTGGTTCGCGACCCGTTGTTTCTACGTCCGCAACCGTTCGCAACCGTTCGCAAGTGTTCGCAGTAGAGCGCTAAGGCGCTGCCATTGGGGGAAGCTTTTGGAGAGGGTTTCGGATGGAAACGTGACGCGTCAGATTCGTGTGAAATAGCGAGGAATCGTGTGGAAATGTAAGATGTTGAGGTGTGGAGGATGATTTCACTGCGCAGGTGCAGCGTTTTGTGAGATCCGCAGTTTGCTGCGCAGTTCCATTGGGATTAGCGTTTGGAGAGTCGTTTTTTTGGGGTGTTGGATGTGGCCGTGCCATTGGGATTTGCGTTTCAGGGTGTGGCATCGAAGCTCTGTTTTCGCGACAAGTCTCAGCTGAAATGGCGATTTTGGTGGATGGGAGTGTGCTCAGAACGGGTCGAAATCATTCCAAAATTTTGGTGAAAGTCACATGAGAGGATATTGTCACTTTTCGTGGCAGTACTTTGTGCGGGCTTTGAGGTGTGGAAGTGCGATTTTCTTGGCAGGCGCAGGGAATCGTGAGGTTGCAAGGTGTGACGGAGGTGACATTTCGTGGCAGGCGCAGTACTTTGCGCGCGTTAGACGTGTGGACGCGGAAAGATTCGTGGCAGGCGCAGGGAATCGTCAGGTTGTGAGTTGTGGAGGTGAATGTCGCTGTCACATTGGGATTGGCGTGTGAGCGGGTGTTGTTTGGAGGGGCTGGAATCGCGAAAGTGCTTGGCAGGGCTGCGTGATGTGTGTGCTCCGATGGGTGTTTCCGCTTGACTTTTTGGAGGAAGCCTTTGTAGACTTTGACAAGTGAGTTTTTGAGGAAGTCTCGTACGAAACGCTCGGTTTGGAGACTTGACATGTGAGTTTTTGAGGAAGTCTCGTACGAAACGCTCGTTGTGGAGACTTGACGCGTGACTTTTGGAGGAAGTCTCGTACGAAACGCTCGCATGACTGCTTCTAGTGTGTGGGCAGACCGTGTGGCGACACGACGTTCGTGATGTCGCCGTGCCATTGGGATTGCGCGGCCTTGGTGGAAAGTGCATTTGCGTAGTGCCGTGCCACTGGGGAGCGCGAAACACGCTGGCGTAAACGCGGCGTGTCGCTGGTGAGCGGGATGATTAGTATCAAGAGTGTCCCAAAAAGTGCCCCGCAAGAGCTTCCTACAAGAGTGACCCACAAGAGTGTCCTACACGAGTGTCCCACAAGAGTGTCCTACAAGAGTGTCCCACAAGAGTGTCCCACGAGAGTGTCCCACAAGAGTGTCCCACAAGAGAGTGACCCACAAGAGTGTCCCAGATGGAGTGTCTCCTACAAGAGTGTCCCGTATGAGTGTCCCACAAGAGTGTCCCGTCCCCCAACAGTGTCCCACAAGAGTGTCTGACAAGAGTGTCCCATACGAGTGACCCACAAGAGTGTCCCGTAAGAGTGGGCGACAGACGTCGACGTTGTTGCTTTGAACACAGAGCTCAATCTTGGCTTCGTCATTGCTGGAAATACTTGGACCCAGACGTCTGCTGTTCGAGGCCCTGGTGACACATCCAAAAACGTTTAGAATCGTAATTCTTCTCCTTTTGAGTCGTGTTTACGAAAGACCCATGCCAATGTTGGAATAATGACATGACCTAGGATAGTTTTACTAACTTCCGTTGTGTGTGTGTCTCATATACTTCTTGTTGACGCAGGTGAGACGCAACAACACACGGTCTTGCACTCATATTTACAAGAGGATCAGACGCCGCGGTTGTGGATTTCTCTGTATTATGTGGACGGTTATCATTTTCAAGTGCTTATTTTTGAGATTTTGGGACAATGCCATTGTTTCGTTCGCGATGTGGATCTGCCAGAACCTTTACGCCAGTGCTTGGTTTGAATGCAAAACGAAGACGGGGCTTGGTGGTGAAGTCCCCAGCACATGCTGCCTTGGTGGTGGAGTCCCCGGCGCATGATGTCCAGCACCGTGCCGGAGCGTGAAAAAGAGAATCTGACCGGCTGTGTCTCTTTCTATACACAGTGGATTGACACGCGTGTTTGCATTCGGGTTTGTGGGCTTCATCTTGTTCTGGGAAGTTTGTCTTTCTCTAAGTGACCTAAGCAGTAAAAGTAAAGATTCGTTGCAAAAGCAGTTGAAGTCAAGCAGAGGGATCTTTTTGCCATTTCCAACCTCCGCGGATTTCAGTATCTGCATACCGAACTGCAGGTTTCCCAGCTTCCATCGTCACCCCATCATAGTACAAACCATGAAGGGACTGCGCAACCTGAGCCACAGCCATGCATGGGAAGTGTTTGGTGGCAACATGTCTCTGCTCCTTGGTCTTTTTTGCCGCGAGAAGTGGTTGGAGATTGTTGGGGAAGTCAGGAACCAAACTCACATTTTATCTAAAATATGACTAGGCCACTGCATCCAGGAGTGCATGGACTGTTCGCCAGCCATTGTTGATTTCCTAGCTGGAAGTGAGGGACCCCTGAACACTATGTTCTGTGGTTTAAACAGTGCTAGAAAGTTAAAAACCTTTGGTCAAGAATCAATCAAACAAAAACATAGAGGATAGCAGCACTCAATACTATTCTTTCTCGGGTCAACCACGCAGCCACAAGCTAGCAAGATCTCCTCCCCGTTGTCCCGGAATTCAGCTTCATCACCCCACAGGCATATTGGTACGTGTTGTTGCTTGCGGGCTGATTTGCGCTAGTGCTCGGGGATCCTCGACCGGCAAGTCCCTCTCATCAACTTTGGGCCAATCTAAGACCACATTATGAGGCAATACCAGTGGGTGCTTCCTTCCAGGGAAGGCAAATGCCTAAATTCAAACCCCTTTGCTAGTGAAAACTTACTTATTTGATTCCCTAACCGTCCTGATTTCCACACCGTTGATCCCGCGAGTTGTTTGTAGGGGCACGTTGATCCTCCACAGCGACTCCCTGATTTTGTTGACCTCTCCGTCTCTCCGTCTCGTGATACATCCGGCAGGCATGCCGCCGGGGATCGTGCCCTCGCCCTGGCTGGCCCGAAGCGTAGGGGGGTCCATGGAGTTGACGAATAAAAGCTTTTGTTTGTTCTCCAAACAATGTGGACCGCGCGGGCGTGTCCGGCTAATTCGCTGAATGGGGGCCCGCGGCGGGCGCTTCTAACGACTGCGCTCTGCCGTGCGTATTTTGGCATATGGTGGCGACTTTTCGTGGCAGGCGCAAGGGAAACCTCGTGCTTTGGTGCTTCAAAGTCGCGCAAGGGATCGGAGTTGTTTTATTTCGAAGTGCAGTTTTCGTCGCAGGCGCAGCACTTTGGACACGGCGGTGATCGTTGAGGAGCTCAGATTTCGTGACAGGTGCAGTGAATCGTGACTTTTGGACATGTGGTTTGTTTGCGGACTTCGTGGCAGGCACAGCACTCTGTGACCCTCGATGTGCAGATTTCGTGGCAGGCGCAGCACTTGGTAAACCTCGATGTGCAGATTTCGTCGCAGGCACAGCGCGTGGTGAACCTCGAAGTGCAGATTTCGCGGCAGGTACAGCACTTGGTGAACCTTGACGCGTAGATTTCGTGGCAGGCACAGCACGTAATAGGCCTCGATGTGCAGACTTCGTGGCAGGCACAGCACACTGTGACCCTCGATGTGCGGATTTCGTGGCAGGCGCAGCACTTGGTAAACCTCGATGTGCAGATTTCGTGGCAGGTACAGCACGTGGTGAACCTCGAAGTGCAGATTTCGCGGCAGGTACAGCACTTGGTGAACCTTGACGTGTAGATTTCGTGGCAGGCACAGCGCGTAAGGCCTCCATGTGCAGATTTTGTGGCAGGCACAGCACTTGGTGAACCTCAAAGTGCAGATTTCGTGGCAGGCACAGCACTTTGTGAACCTTGACGTGTAGATTTCGTGGCAGGTACAGCACGTTGTGAACCTCGAAGTGCAGATTTCGTGACAGGCGCAGCACTTGGTGAACCCTGACTGAAGTGCAAATTTCGCGGCTGGCGCAGCGCTTGGTGAACCTCGAAGTGCAGATTTCGTGACAGGCACAGCATTTGGCGAAACCTGAAGTGCAAATTTCGCGGCTGGCGCAGCGCTTGGTGAACCTCGAAGTGCAGATTTCGTGACAGTCACAGCATTTGGCGAAACCTTGGTGAACCTCGCAGTGCAGATCGTAGCAGGCACAGCACTTGGTGAACCTCGAAGTGCAGATTTCGTGGCAAGCGCAGCACTTTGTGAACCTCGAAGTGCAGATTTCGCGGCAGGCGCAGCACTTTGTGAACCTTGATGTGCAGATTTCGGGGCAGGCGCAGCACTTTGTGAACCTCGAAGTGCAGGTTTTGTGGCAGGCACAGCACTTCTCTCGCTCGCCCACAAAGGTGGATGCGCCAAGCCTGCGGTCAAAGGCGAAGGCGAAGGCTCCTTCGCCCGCCTGCGAGGAGGTCGGAGAGCTCCGTGGTTGGAAGGTGTTGGGGAGGTTTTTCGTGGCTTTCCCCCACACACAGTGGCCGCTCATCGTAAGCGCTTGAACACTGTTTGGGGTCTCTTGCCGGTTTGGGTCCATGTTGAAGTCCTTCACTCGGAACAGTTTCTTTCGCTTGCACCCTGTGCCAATGGAAATCTCTGAATTGAGTTTTTGACTCGCGGATCTGGAACGCGTTTCTGATGCAAAGCCGGGCTTGGGCCCAGAGTGGTTCACCGGGGAACTGTGCACCTATGGGAACCAGCCTCCTGGATTCTGGGAAGACTATGGACAAAAGGATTTTGGGATTTGGCCTTCCTCGCAGTTTTCCCAAACTGAGCCACTGCGGGTGGGGCCTGGGGGAGTCGAAGCCGCTCAAAAATCCCAGAAGGCTTTGCAACCAAAAGCCTATAGGACGGGACTTCGATCTGTTTTCGCTGCTATCCGAGTGCCAAAGGGATCCCAACGAACATGCAACATTGAGGGCACAAGTCCGAAAGGTCAACGAGCCTTCCATCCAAAATAACAACAACATTGAGTTCTTCCTCGCCCCCGATGCCCCGCACACCCCCACCAGGCGCGACTCGCCTGCCAGGCGCGGCGCTTGTTTCAGCGCGGCGCAGGCCGCGCGGCGGCGCAGAAGCTGCTGCTGCGTGGGGCCAGCGCGAGCAGCCAGGCCTGCGTTTGGGCTGCACAGGGGCGAGTTGCGCTGGAAATAGTCTTGGCAAACCAAACAGTTCAGCGAAAGAAAAGATATGTTTTGTCCCCTAAGGATGATAGTTTTGGTATGTCTTGGTTCAGCTCACCACACCACAACAGCTCGGTGACTCATTATCCATTTCCTGGCCTTTTTCACAGCATGGATGGGGGTGAAATCAGAGTTCCGCTTCTGATTCTCGAAGGCCCTGGAGTTGCCAGGGTCCCAAAGGTGCAACCCGACTCACCCGACGACCACGGGCATAACTTGACCGCGCAGCACATCGACCGTTCTTCAAGTCGTGAGAGAACTTCCTTCGCTACGGCCGGCGCGGCGCGCCTGCACGCTGCCAGGTGGAGCAAGAGGATGTGGTGGAGGGGCTCGGGGTTCCCAGGGTGAGAGGATCCTTTGGGGCGGTGCTGCATTTGCTTGGAAGGATCCGCTTCCATGATCAGAGGGTGTAAGACTCTCTTGGTGTCCCAGATTTCCAGGAAGCTCAAACATCACCGATGGAGACCCTCCAGGTCTCGGTGGCACCTGGATGCACCTGGTATTGAAGCAGACCGATTTGGTTTGAGGAATCGGCTCAGCAAGCCCTTCTGTGCCACGCTGAAAGCAGCTTGCGCTCAGAATTCAGAGAGGCAGAGACTCACCAAATCGATGTACTCATGCTCAAACATCCCCAAAGCCGCTGGTGTTCAAGCGTTTTTGTTCTTTTTCGACCAGACATGTTTCCAGAATCCAGAATTGTTCCAAGAAGTTAATCATTAATTCCCCCTGGCTTCTGGCACTGTGAGGTTGAACCTGGTGGCCTTCGCCTGTGGCGCCTATTGGCCCAGTGGTGATCGGTGATCGGATTCGGTGTTAACAAATGGAAGGGACTCATGGAGGGAGAAATAGTATGTAAGGAGCACAAACCCAACATGACCCAACTGCTTGTTAAATCACAGTGAAAAATGAACCTGATGCGGGTGAAAGATTGTGTGTGGTGGGTGAAGCTTTTTGTGGAAGAGACTGGAACATGTACTAAATAGTACGTTCCTTCGTTTGTGTTCATGTTTGTTCGAAGCAGCAGCGTTCCCGAAAAAAGACAAAAGAAGAGGAGTGCTCGTTCTGTTCCGCCAGCGGAGACCTGCCAAACCCGGCCGGACACTTCGGCTCAGCCCATCGACCGGGAGACAGCTTGGCCCCGTTTGGTTGGGGAGACTAGTCGAACTTTTTGCGAACCAAACGGGCCAGGCCTGGGAACTCTCCATGCTTTTGATCCATACCCAGCTGGGCTTCTGGGACGCGTCTCCCTTCAATGCTTCGCAGTGTTTGGTAGATACACCCACACGGTTCCACATGGTTCCACCCTGCCCGAGGTGGCCTCGGACCGGGCCGGTCTTCAGAACCTCCTTCGCGAGGCGAGAGGGGCGGACGGGTGCCGAAAGGAATTCGATACAGGGGAGATTGGAAAGATTGATTCCTTTTTGCCGTGTCCTTTTATGGCTTCCAAAACCGCTGCTGACATGGGCCATCAGAGCTTTTGGCACAAGAATCTTCACTCCCTCCTGTTTCCCTCTTGCGCACACCGAAGACAGTTGTCTGTGGTCGCTCTCGCATCAGTCGCTGGGTCAGGCACTTCCTTCGGGCAGTCAAGTCCTTCCCCATTCCCGTAGTCTTGTCGAATCTGGTGAAACCAATCAGCCGTGACTCGTAAAAAACGGTTTTGGGTATCGGGGGGGCTTGCATAGGCAACGGCTGGCTCAGAAGGAAGAGGGAACAAAGCACCTTATACGACATCGGCAAGTTACTCCTTCAACTTCGTACTCATCCAGGTGTTATCTGTGTTCTTGCCAATTGCCGCCACCCTTGGAAGTGCTGTGCAGCTCTTCTGCTTCCAAAGCGATGTGCACCAGAACCAAATCCGTAGGTTTAACCGCGCTGGAACCCGAGGTTACAGGCCGCAGGATCCTCGCTTTCCTGCAACCTCGGAACTTGAGGAGGAAACAAAAACTGGCCAAGGCGCCAGATGGACACAAGGATTCGATCCCCTCTGTTGTGTCCAGGGTGCTCGAGGAATTGCACTCTTGCCAGTGCGGAGGGCCACCACCACAGGTAGGCAAACTGCCAACAGTGACCTGCTGGTCTTCACGGTTCAAAATATTTCGGACCATTCACAGTGCCTGAAAACCTGCCATTCGGATCATTTTGGGAGGGGTTGCCCCCGAGCTTTACTTCAAGTCTCGCGGGGTGGTCCTATGCCTTCTTCGATCTTCTGCACAAATAGCGAATTTGTTTCTGGGCGAGAGAAGTAAGTCTCCATATTCTACACAGAAGATGATATCTATCAATATATTGCCATTATATTATATGCCATTATCACCTGCACTTTCTAAAAAACTCTGGAAGTGTTTCTCTCTCTGCTATGGAGCTTTGGACACTGACACAAAAAGACTCAAAGCCACAACGGTTCTCAGCTTGCTGTTGAAAGAACCGGAATGCATCGTTTGGTGTGATTGTGACAGAATCATTTTCTCCGGTCAGCCATCCGTAAGAGAAGTGTGACTCAAAACCTCCAAAGAATTTCCTCTTTGATAGGATGCCTGGACAAGTTCTTGTCAACTGTCTCTTGCCTGGTCTTGAGCCGGGCTTTCTGAGTGGGCTCGGCATGCGGCGGGGATCTTCTCTCCCCCGAGTGGGCCTTTGCATCGTACTCCGAGGTCACATGGCGGCCAAACGTTTCGTCCGGACTCGCGGAATCAGATGACCTCGATCGATCCAGTGATTCCTGTGATGTTTCCCCCCTTCACTCGCCGGATTGGGACGTCAGACCCAGAGGAGTCGGTAACCCACCGGTCAGGTGGCCTCGATCCTCGGCCCGCTCCGGTGGCCCGAACGGATCGGACGGGTTCGAAGAGATGTGACGTGATTTTGGATCACTGCTTGGCCTCCAAAAGGAGCACACAAGCAGGGCTGTTGGGATAGATGTATCTATAACAAATCTAGTGCTTTGAGTCATTGAGCTATTCCATGCTATTCCCGATTTCCATGTGTCGTCCTTGTTGGCCATGTTTCAGCGAGTTGTTGTCCGGCTGGATCCACACCACGCCAAGGACCTGCGACAGGGAAGAGTTGAAGGATGGGGTCACAGGCGCAAGACATAAACTGGGGGGAAACAAGAATGCGTCCGTCATGCATATCTAAGGACACGCCCTCATCACACTGAGAAATATATGGACCAACACCGGGTGTGTTCGGCGTTCCCGTTGACCAACTCGTCGACCTTTGGAGATTGCCCTTCTTGAGAGAAATGACAAACACCAGGTGTTGAAGCATGTTGAAGCCCTTCCCTAGGGCTCCGGTCGCGGCGAACTCCTGTTTCGGTTGGACTGGGGGGCTCAGGTGCCAGGGTCCAGTCCTACCGAACCTGAGGAGGTGGGACTGGGTCCTGGAGGTTTGGGGGCCCCTGGGGGCCTTGGTGGCACCCAAGTGTCAATCCGACTGAGTGTTCTTAGAATTCAGCTCGAACCTGGGTGACTTGCATGTGTTTCTCTTGGCACTTCACGGATGCGGCAAGTGGAAGGATGATTTGAAAAGCAGGCGAGAAGAGGCCGAGCATTACAGACTGTCAAGAAGTCAAGGCATGTATTTCCATTGCCTTCCCATGTGGGCCTCAGCATGGAACATCTACAAGGCCATGCCACATGTCTCCCTTCCCTTCCTCATTGCTCAATGTAGCGATGTCACTTTCGTGGGGTCTTCTCAAGATTTCTCAAGCATGCACGAAGTAGATGATGGCACAATGCCGCAATCCCCAAGTTGGGTGGTTTATATCAAATCCAATCTGTCTAACACATCTTGGGGTGCCAGTGCGACCTGCTCTGAAATCAACCCTAGGGCGGGTTCCGTTCGCTCCTCCTGGAGCCTCCTGGCACCCACCCCAGTCCAAACGAAACTACGACTGGAGCCATCAGCCGGGCCATGGGGTGGTGAATGGACACTCCTGAACCTCCATGGGGCTATTGTTAGACACCCCATAGTAACCGGTCTAAATTCCAGACATGGAGTGTTTGTGTTTGAAGGCTCTACTCCTCCCATCACCTCTCACCATGCCACGCCATGAGCCTCCAAAGCTAGTGTCTAGGTACTTGGAGCTCTTTGGCCTATATATATATATATATATAGTGCCATGTACATTCTCATCACCTCCAAGGCGCTACTCCGTGAGATTGTCCTACTCAGCAGACCAAAACCCTTCAGTGGGGGAATTGCTTTCCCGAACGCCCGAGAATCTCGGCGTCGACACTGCCGGTCAGATGACAGATGGCACGATGGTCAGTCATGGGGTTCACCTTCATCATTTTTCCAGGGGTTCCAGACGGTGGAGTCTAGTCGCACCCAATTCGCACCCAAGGATTTGCCTGGTTTGGCTGATCAGACGACTATTTTCCCTATGGTTAAATCCCCTGACCTGGGGAATGCCTGGGATTTTACGGGAGTTTTTTACTTTTTCTTGGTTCCGTCCCGTCGGTTCCTTAAGCAAATCCAAGGGTTTTGCCTCCAAAAAAGACCGCAGACGCCTTGTCGTCCGACTTCGACACTGCTGTCGAGGCATGGTGAGTCGGGAGCCTTGGGAGTAATCAGACTCTGCTGGTGGGCAACTGCAGATTCTCGCTCTTACCCAGACGCTCCAAACGAGTCTTGGTCCCTCAAAAGCTAGGGCAGCTAGGGATTTGAGACCCCAGACCCCTCCAAAGGATTATACATCGAAAAAGTCACCCATGGCGGAGGGAAACGCTCAAGATTTTACACAGCGTTGATGCCCTCCAATTCGGCTGCTTCACTCCAAAGAGCAGGCTTCCCATAGACGACAGACCGGCAACAGAGCATGGAGAGCCGCCTTGAGAAAGGACGTATACCGTAGACATGCCAATCTAGTCAACCCCTGAATTGCACTCTCATAGACTCATAGATTCTTTTTCAGCACCGCATGTGGTTTCCATACAGGGCAGGATGGCGTGTTTTCAGAGCCACTTTTGACATCTTTTGCCTGTTTTGAGTTGCTCAGCGACAAGAATGTACAGCAAGATGAGTCAGACATGAAGTTGCAAGTTGGCCCACATACCTGGAGCATGCCTGTCTGGATGTCCTGTCCTGTCGCTCCCTATTCAGTGTAGGGTCGAGCCAGGACACACAGACAGGATGATCCTGGTATGGCCGCTCTCCGCGATGGTTTGGCCACTCCATTGACCTACATCTAGTCGACCAGTTCTGGGGCCACCCAGTCCAGCATTCGGCTGAGTTTGGAAGGTCTTCGATTCCGGTCCGCTTCTTTTTTTAATCTAAGTGCTATACATGAGCCCAAAAGAATCAGATTTCCTCACCAACAGTCTCCCACAGATGTCCAAAAGGACTGAAGCATGAATCCTTTCGGGGGTTTCCCCAATTTTGGCTGACTCACTTGACTACCCCGAACTTGAAACCTGCGCACAGTTACCCAGACACGACCCATGGGACTGCTATACATGCCGATCAGTTGGGGTGGTTTTGGGGGTCAATTGATCGGCATATATGATATATGGCAGTCCCATGGAGTGTCTGGGTTATTGAGCGAAGCCATCCGGTTCAGTGATTCACGGGATGCGGCTTGGCTGCTAAGGTGAGACCTTGAATGGTGTCCTCCGAGCTTGGGGCTCTCAACCCTGGCCATGTCAAGAAGATGTCACCTGGCCTGAGACTTCGATTTTCCTGTTCAAGGTTGCCACCGTGTAACAATGTACGTGTGGTGTCCCCTGGAGCGGGTTGGGCTATATATCAAAGGTCATCAAAAGAGCCGCCTTGAAGCAGCTTGGAATTGGAGCACTCTTGCGTTCTTTGTCCGACTGTGGCAACCTCCCAGACGGAGGAGAATATATCATAATATATCCGGATGTTGATGGATGTTGATGTTCTGCAGTCGCCGGGACTGCAGCGGATTCCTTCGCCACCTGCAGGTGCGCTTGCGCCACCGCAAGAGTTCGGGCCACTTGGATTCGTGGCTCCGTGGCGTGGCAGTCAGGTCGTGCCTGGCAGGTCGTCCCGAAGGCACTGGACATTCAATATAGGTCACGTCCTGGAAACAATCCGGCTTGGAAACTGACCTTGCAAAACCCTTTGATGACGTTAAGCACCAAAATCGCCCACAACCAAAGGCCCACAACCAAGGAACCACATAGCATACAAATCATATAAACAAACATCAACATGTTTCCCGAGGGTCCACCGGCATCTTCACCACTCTGTGGAAATCCCTGCTGCGATTCCACTTCGAGTAGCTGCCCAACTTGACAGTCACAGGAGCCAAAGAATATCCAGACTCCTGTGTTTAGAAAAACCCACCACACACCCTTTAGGCATCCACAAGCTTTCTCAGTACAAAACAGACCTCCCCAAACAAGGCAACAGAAAAATCCCGAACATTTGTCCCACGCTGCCCTGGACACCAAAAGGGGCTATTTTGCCTCATCGATCCCCAAGAATCGCTCCATGTGGCCGCGCTGGAGCTCATGTGGCCGCTGATTGCGAAGCCGCACCTCTCCCCGCTTGTGATCCTGGAAGATCCCCTCATCGACCGTGGCTTGCTCGAGTCCGTCGGGTCGCGCGCGCGCGCGCGCGTTTGGGTGCGCGCGCCCAAGTGGGGTCGCGGGGTCGGAGATCGGGGTTGAAGATCGGGATTGGTGTGGGTAACTGTAGCCTTTTGATGAGTTGGAGTGGGATTTTTACTTCAGTCCGATGTTTTTTTGGGTTCCGACTAGTCAGTGCACCTTTACTGATTTTTGAGCCATGGAAGAACCAAAAGCCTCGCGAGGGACTTGCAGTGTCAGGAGGTCGCAGGACTTCACTCCCGTGCCGCCGACGCTTTCGCTCCGAGCGGCCTTTGTTTGGTCCGCCCGTTGGTGACGAGAATGGAGGCAGAGCCCGATAGATTTGGTGGAAGACCCCCGACTGTTCGACTCCCAGGCCATTGGTACCCCAGGGTTTTGCCGGGGTCCCCAGAGGTTCCGGTCACTGAAGACCTCTCTTGGATCCCTTCGGGGGGTTGGGGTGGGGGTTTGCTGAAGCCGGTTCCGGGTTCGTGTGGCGATCGTCGAAGCTGGCGCTTTTTGGGGTCTCTCTTCAGCGGTCGGGGGGCGGTGGGACCTCGAGGGCGATGGGGCGTTCCGCTCTGAGTACAGTACTCTGGGTATTGCCAAACAAGACGTCTTTGAATTTGGAGAATGGAATTCATTCCAGGAGTCACAATACGGGGTGCTATCCATGGAAGTTACGGGTGCCCATGATCCACTCACTTAGGGACCAAACACCACCTGGTTGAAAGACCCTGGTTGAAAGACAGTTTGAACAATTTGACAAATGCTCGACCCTGTTCATGAGAATGAGGATTGCCATGTTTCGATTGCCAGTTTGTCTAAAGCATGTCAGACAGGACCAGAAAAAAGACCGTTCAACCTGTTTTGCCGTCGGCACTGCTCTCCACCCAAGAGACGTCTGTGGTTTCAGTGCGCAACAACGAGCACGTCGTGAATCCGCCGCGTAGTGAATCCGTCCAAGGGTAGATAGATGTCACTTCTCATGCGACAAAGTGGATGAAATGCCGCAAGACGGCGCCAATCTGAGGCGCCTTCAAATGGCTTTCGATTTGCTTCGTGCCATTTCTCCTCGCGTACATCGTGCTCAGCACTAGCCCTACCACCTTTGAGCCCGTTCACACCGATGCTCATCATGCTACGACTTCGCACGACGAAGCACGAGTGCCGTCGATCTGTTCCTTTTTGGTTTTCTGGGTTGCCCAACAAACGAACCGCCTTTTCCGAGCCGGGTGTGGGGTGGACAAGCGAGCGAGCGTCCTTCGTTGGTGTGAGGTGGAATGATGATAGTTGGGTGCGTTGTGGTCTGTTGGTTCATGTGGACGGTTTGAAGAAGAGTTACACGCGGAGACCGTCCCTGACTTTCTAGAGGTGCTTATAGTGCTTGACTTGTCCGTCCCTGACTTTCGCTCTGACCGTGTTTCTTGGATCCCCAGTGTTCAGAACGGTCCCTGCAGACCGCCTCCAGAAAGGGATCGCATCCCCGTGTTTACCGGGGAATTGTCTCAGAACACTTTGGGGATTTCCCCCCGAAGCCACCGAGCAGACGCCGACGAGATCCCCGGTCCACCGTCCGCTCGGCTTCCGCCGCATCGGCGGCTTCCGAAGCGGGCGGTGGCAGGTGGAGGGTTTGGGTGGCGGTTCATTCAGGTGATTCCGGAGAGTGTCCAAAGCATGAAACATCTTTGCCCTTTTGGGGTGGGGGGTTTCAATGAAGCAGAATGGCAGACATGTTGCCATCGTTGGGAAGGATCATCGTTGTCATCTTGAGTCACATCGTCCATGTTCCAAACAAAAGAAGGAAGGCGGGGGCGGGACGCTCAAGCCCTGCGCGACACACACCCAATTCACAATCCAAGGATGTGTACCAAATCGATCAAAGTGAGATGGCCTTCAAGGGTCACAAGGACCAGTACAACTTCACCCAACATCGGCCTGACTATTGCACCGCTCCGCAGAACTTCTCCTGCGATTGGTGTCCTTGGAATTCGCCGAACTGGGTGTGTTTTGCGTTGTTTCCGCTTTCAGGCTATTGATTAGCTGATCAACCCACATCTGGCACCGGCACCACTAAAGTGTTCACTCCGGCCATCCACATCACATGGAAGTGGTTCACTCGTGCTTCTTCACCCGTCTTCGTAAAGGAAAGGCGTCTTCTTTTCGGGACCAGGCCATGTCAGAGTAACCATGTGATAGTGAGTAGTCAGAGTAACCATAGTCACTTGGTGAAGAGTATATGATCCCCCTTTTTATCGCTTGGTGGCTGGGACAGCTTTGCCTTCGAAGAGGGTCACCTCGAAGTGTGGACATCGCCGTCGCCTTCTTTCCGTTCCATGCGCCTCCCCTTGTCCTCGCGTCGTGGCTTCATATTGATGTCTCTCACGGTTTACCTCGGTGGCTCCGAGGTATTCCCATGAGGTGAATGCCTCGGGCTGCAGTGCTTTGAGACACTCGCCCTACTTCAACTATCCCATGACCGATGCTGAGGGCCATGGGATCTTCATCCCAACCATGTTGGGCTGGAAGACGGTTCGCCTCAGCTGCGGTGATGCGGGCTGCACACGCGAAGAGAGCAACTGGGTTTGTCAAAGAGGGAGAGAGAGGGGGTTTCAAAGCCATGGCCTCCAACCTACTAGCGAAGGCCTCCCACCAATGCAAAACCTCCAACTCCCTCCAACCTAGGGAAGGGAGCTTTGTACATTTGTGGGGAGGTTGTATGATGTTGTTGTCCGCGTGCTTGGAAGATGATGTATTACGAAATTGGTCTTTTGGTGGATCTCCATTGCCTTAGACTCTGGAGAACCTGCAATCAAAAGAATCCTTGGAGTCTCGACCGCAGGCACCGAATCTCACCAAGTCTACCTGCCCTACGCTGCCGACTTTGGCCGATTGATGTTCAAAGCGCGGCCCCACTTGCCGGACTGGGAGTGGAAAGGCGTGGCACCCGTCGTGTTCGCATATGTCGGTCGCACGTCTTGGCAGCTCGTGCCTTGAACAGGTTCATGCAGGCTCGACGGAGTCCATTGGAGGTGCCAAAGGCGAAGTGGCGCCGAAGCCCAGGATCCCCCTTGGGCGGCCCTACAGGTGAAGGGGATGGGTTTTCTCGGGAGTTCTTTTTCCCCAAGCAGTTTACTGTTGGGGTTCTATCTTAGAAAAAAAGGAGAGCTGGCCACACTCACTGGCCGCGCCCCTGAACTCGCTCTGTGGCTGGGCTCTGTGTCCAGGCCTTGTCCTCCTCTTGTCCTTGTCTTGGCCGCCCCTGAACTCTGTGGCTGGTCTCTGTGGCCCGGTTTACTGGAGAGGAGTGTGGCCGAACAAATAGCGATGTCAATGCCGACAAAAATTCATTGATGAAGCAGTGTGCTCTTGGGGTGAAGGTAGGACGTACCAAGAAATCGGTTTTTGACTAATATTGGTCTAAACGAATCGTTTTGAAGCTGTTTGGGGTCTATGCTGGTATAATTCTGAGTTGAGGAGCGCGAATACCCCAGGGTTTTGGCACGTGTTCTCCATCCGGCGTTGACACTATAGTATCAAGTATTCCAAGGACTCCAAAGAGGAGTGGACTTTTGTGCAACAGAACATAGAGACATTGAGGAGAACAAAGCAGGCGTGATAAACCGTTTGAAACCTGAAAACAGCACGGACCATATCGTTCCAAAAGCTCGAACCAGTTTCAACGCATGTGTCGCACCATTGGCTGAACACTGCCATGCAGGTGTGAACGGCCCACTTTGTCTCTTCGAAGACAGTGGCCACCAGGGCACCCCACTGCAGCGGGCACACCAGCTGGGAACCACGGAGTGTTTGCTTCAGTTCAGCTACAACAACTCCATGGCGTCTTGCCTCGTTTGGGCTGGTCGTTGAAGGGAGCCGAGCGGATTGACCTCGGAAAACCACTGCCGGGACATCGTGGGGCGTGGGGGTGGTCGATCGGATTGTGGTTCAGACGCAGTCTGGGGGTAAGAAAGGACCTGAAGAGGCACTAATCTTCACAGAGGATATTTGCTGTTTCCTACAAGCCACCATTCGGGGGTTCAGCACCTTTTGGTTTTGACTCGACCAACATGTGGAACGCAGCAGTTCACAAAACTTAACATCATGGATGATGTCAAGATACCACTCTTGCTACCATCCGCTCTTGGATGGTTCATGAATGTCCGCAAGAAAGAGTCATTGGCTGATGTGCTTGTCTCAGGAACTTCACGAGGCCGCCCCAAAAGACTCTACAACATGCAAGTGTCCAAAAGACATTCCTACCATTGCAACCCAGCAGGTCCAACCCTACGAACCCAGCGATTCCAATTGATGTCCTTAGACAACCTTTTCGAAAGCCATTCACGTCATGCGAACTCGTTCACGCAAGACGTTCTCCGAATCATCGGGCTTCAGAATCCACGTTGGCACCAGCATGCTTCAGCACTATCCTCGGATTGACCAACTCTGCAAGCATGACCGGACCCACCCTGTTCACACCTCGTCAGAACAGCATCTCAACACATCTCGTGTGATTTTTCGTCCTGCGGGTCCCGTGACCTTTTTTGTTCGGAGGTCCGTTTGAACAGCGCGCACGTCTATTCGGGCGAGTGGGGCGAGATTTTCATCAGCATCCCAGCCCTTTTCAACTTCTCAGAGCAGCTAGGCTGACAACTGGCAAATGGGGCAGGCAAAGGCACACCAATATGTCGGCATGTAGAGTCTTTTACAAGTCCCTTGCAATGCATTTTTCCTATGTGATGAGGCAACCTAATCCGCAGAAAGGCTTGTGTACAACAATTGATTCCCCCCACCGCCCTTCCAATCCAAGGCAAGTCATCATTCTTCCAATCCAAGGCCCATGCCACCTTTGTTCCCAAAATCCCAAGAGCTCCACCGCTCCCCAAAATCCACGCGGCAGCTCGATCCGGCCTCCCCGCATCGTGCTCGACTCGCTGCTCGCCCGGGCTCGCCGACTCGAAGGCGCTTCGGCGAGCTCCCCCTGAGCAGCGCGACGCGCGACCGGGACGCAAGCGGCAAGCAGTTCACGGCGGAGCGCTGTGCCCCACGCAGTCGTGGTGGACGCTTCCAAGTGCAGCTCACCACACAGTGGGTGCGGAGAGATGATGCGAGGGAGTGGCCGTGATGTGGTTCGGCGACAGGTTTTGTGGTTGTGTTGCTAAGGCCCCCCCAAGAAGGGATTTGTTTGTTGTCTTCTCTAACCGGGGGATCATGCTGTTCACGGACTAAATCCAGAATATCCAAGCATTTGATCGAATCGCCCGGTTACTTTTTGGTGCTCGGTGTGGGATTGGGATGGCGTAAGCAAACGGTGGTGAGCCAAGATTCCACAACGACTCGTTCCGGAGAACTCGATGAATGCTTAATTAAACCGATGAACGAGGTGAGTCATGATCAAGACCGCAAAAGTTCGAAGCTCTTGGCAAGAGGCGTAAGACTCGTGGTATAATTATGGAGGTTCCCACAGTAGAATGTTTGGGTTTCTGAGTGGGTCCAGTTGCCCCGGCAGAAGGACACTTCTTCTTCCGTGTCAAACTCTTGATCAGCATACTCTCCGCACGACCTGAGAAAGCCTGAGAACTCATCCAGTGCCAGCAATCATGAACTTGAGCATGAGTGACCCAGAGCATACACCCTTGAAACGTTCTTTTTATGCAACCAGAACTTAGATCTTCATGTGTGCCGCCAGAAACCCAGAGTCCCGACCCTGTGCCCTACGCCCGGCGGCGGGGGGCTCGAAGCGTCCAAGTGACACCGTTGGCATTCGAACGTCCCCAGCGCCGGAGACCTCAAACCGAACCGGAAGAGGCCGAACGTACCCATCCAGGCGAGTGTCCACGGAAGAGGCCTTGGCGTTTCCGGAATTCCTGGGCATGCGGATGCTTGGACTGATGGCGATGTGGGGATGCTTGGACTGATGGCGATGTGGGACACATCACCCAATCTGTAAGCTTTGATGAAAAAGATGTGAACTCCTGGGCTATGTCTCTGGCCGGGCTCTTTTTGGCAAGTCAGGTCGTTTGCGGGTTTTGCAGCGACCAACCCCATCGGTTTTGCCACGCTTTCCCTTTACATATCTGAGTGGTTTTGACACTGGGCAGAGTTATTTGTTAGATGGTGTTTGGGGTGAAAGTCATTTGGGAAAATGATGAAATACGCATGTTTATCTCAAGTTCTGTCTCCGACAGCGGTGGCATCAACCGAACCTACTATAGCAACCACGTGATCTCAAACGTGATCTTGCCCGTACCGACTAGCTGACTGAATGAGTGCTGTCTTCTAGAAACCTCGGCAAGTACGCAAAGATGACGCGTGGGAGCGTCGGTGGGGAACGCTGTCTGATCCCGCTTGGATCCCAAACGGATCCCAGTAGCAGGAAAAGTATGGGAAATCCATGGACATCCATTGAGTATGGAGGATCCTTTGATCCAAGGAGCCCGGCAGAGCCCTCCAACTGTTTCATCCAAGGATCCCCATTGAGATGTCCAAGAGCCCGGTTTGCTGGTTCGGCTCTCCGTGGCTCGGCAAACGGGCGGACGGAGGCGACTCCTTCGTACCCGGAAGAAGCACAGCTGGGGTCAGGAGATGTTGGTTGCATGACGTGCTGGTGGTGTTTAAAAGGAAGCAACATGAAGCAACTACCTAGAGTCCAACCAGGTCAGATGAGACGGGATCTTCGATCTTTCAGCCCCCCAAGCCCTAAAGAGGTTGTTCAATCATCCCTACCGCCTTACCTCTGAGTTTGAGGGGGGGGGGCTCAAAAATGTAACTTACATTTTCTGGGGTCCCCCCTAGGGATCCTTTTTATTGTAAGTAACCCCCCCTTGACGTGCTTTTTTTTATGTAACTTAGGACGTCCGAGGCCTGTACTTACATTTATCAACCCCCCCACTAACCACTCACTTGGGGGGGGGTTAATACATGTAACTTCCTGAGATTAAAAGGGGGGGAAATGCAACTTACTACCTCCGACGTGTGTAGTTACATTTTCAACCCCCCCCATCAAATACTTGCAGTGTGGCACCTGTGTTAGAATTCTCTGTCCGAGATAGCATTCCTTCACACTCAAGGACAACAGGAAGCAGACAGAAAGACGCATTGAATTATTCAGTGATATTTTAGATAGGCTCAGCAAAATTCTATGTAAATTGCTGAGAGAACAGATTTTGAGAGAACAGAAATAGACCAGGAAAATAGCTAACAATTTAACTAGCTACTTTTTACGCTGTCTCTAGAGACACAGGGAGTCGAGAGATCGGCCTAAGGTCCGTTTTGTTTTTGGGTGATGGAGCATGCTTTCATTTCAAACGGAAGAGATTTGCTGACGTTGCATACCTTTTGGGTGTTGCTTCCAATTGATATCGGCTTGCCATGTGGTCGTAAATCGCATTTTTTTGAATATATAAATACATTGATATCTTCCAAAATACTGTCCCATACTAAATGATACTGGGTTTTTCCAACGGGCGCCCCCTGAAGGATTCCAAACCACCACACCTTCCACCCTCCAATTACCCTCATCCAGAAACACCCCATCTCTGCGCGCAGGGCCAGGTGGCAGCTTTGGGTATGCTCATCTTCCAATCAAAAGATCTCATCAACGAATACCGCCCCAAGTTCCTTAGTTCCTTGTTTGGAGGCTGCCACCCTACTCAGTTATCGCGCAATCGGACCGCCACTGGATCACCCACTAGCGCTGGATCATCCACTATAGGTGGCTGCTTTCACGATGCGTTTGTTTCAACCTTTGTTTGAAATGCTTGGATCATCTTGGATCCCACGAGTTCGAACACATTGTTTCAAGTGACTTGAAAACATGTTGTTCAACATGTTGAAATCATCAACCATCACCAACCATCGTCCGGTGACTCTGGCTCCCAAAAGTCCATCGTGTCGGTGGGAAGTTGGCAAGACGGCCACACTGGGTTGACTACGACTTTGCACTCGGCATTGATGTCTGGACCACGCAGAAGGACCAACCGATATCTTATGTAATGAGATCTGTGGCCGTCAACTAGCAGGTTGACCTAATATGTGGACTTGAGTAAGAGCCGAGAGGAGTGCCAAGAGGTTTGACAATCCCCAGACACTTGACACTCCATCTATGGCATATTTAACTGCATTGACCCCTGAAACCAACCCAATGGAATGCCGGAATGCGGAGTGTTTAGGCACGCCCTAAAGGAGATCCATCTCGTTTTCAGTTGGACCTGGATGTGTTTGACGCATCTTGCTCCTCTTCAAGTTCCGCATGGTCAGGTGCAGGTGGACTGCCGTGCCTACTCGGCTGCCATGGGAGGCCTCATCCAGAAACACCCCATCTCTGCGCGCAGGGCCGGGTCGAGAGGAGCCACGCCGAGAAGAGGAGGCCGAAGAGGAAAGTTCATACGTAGACTCAGTAGACTTTTTATAATGTATCACCTTTGTGCATGTATAGTCTATAAGCGTTTTATGGTACCTTGTTTCCTCTTCGGCCTCTTCTTCCGACTTCGATGGACCGGTTGATTGTTGGTAAGTTAGCTAACCATTGGTAACATTTTAATTTTTTACAGCCCTCCAAACGCCAATCCCAATGTGACTACGCAGAAAACTGCGGATCTCACAAAACGCTGTGCCTGCGCAGTGAAATCATCCTCCACACTTCGCAACATCTTACGTTTCCACACGATTCCCCTCTATTTCACACGAATCTGACACGTCACGCTTCCATGCAAACCCTCAGCACCCTACTGCGAACGGCGGTGGACGGTTGCGAATGCTGAGACCACCAAGGCTATACCCCCAGACCCCCAGAGTTAAACGAGAACCCTTCGCTACGCATTCGGGAAAAAGGGCAAAGATTTTCTGGGCAGCGCTGGGAACAATCACAACAGGGGTGTTGGATGTGGCTGTGACATTGCATTCAAAACGTGTCCCTTTTCGTCGTGGCAGGCGCAGTACTTCCGCGGGGTTTGAGGTATGGAAGTGCGATTTTCGTGGCAGGCGCAGGGAATCGTGAGGTTGCGAGTTGTGGTGGAAGTGAATGTTCCTGTGTCGCAAAACTGCTTGGCAGGGCTGCTTGATGTGTGTGCTCCGATGGGGGTTCCCGCTTGACTTTTGGAGGAAGTCTTGTACGAAATGCTCGTTTTGGAGACTGGGCGCGTGACTTTTAAAGCGAGTTTTTGAGGAAGTCTCGCACGAAACGGATTGACGATGATTGACGCGTGAATTTTGGAGGAAGTCTCGTACGAAGCGCTCGTTTTGCAGACTTGAAGTGTCCCACACGGGTATCCGACGAGAGCGTCCCACAATAGTGTCCCACAAGGGTGTTCCATAAGAGTGTCCGGCAAGAGTGTCCTACAAGAGTGCCCCACAAAAGTGTACCACAAGAGTGTCCCGCAAGACTGTTCCATAAAAGTTTGGGACAAGAGTATCCTACAAGAGTGCCCCGCAAAAGTGTCCCACAACAGTGTTCCACAGGAGTATCCGACAAGAGTGTCGCAGACTGTTCTATAAGAGTGTCCTACCAAAGTGTCCCACAAGAGGGTCCTACAACAGTGTCCCACAAGAGTGTCCGACAAGAGTGTCCTACCAGAGTGTCCCACAAGACTGTTCCATAGGAGTGTCCCACAAGCGTGTCCTGCTAGAGTGTCCCACAAGAGGGTCCTACAAGAGTGTGCCACGAGAGTGTCTGACAAGAGTGCCCTACGAGATTTTCTTGCAAGAGTGACACACATGAGTGTCCCACAAGAGCGTCCTACAAGACTGTTTCGCAAGAGTGTCCTACAAGAGTGTCCCGTAAGAGTGAATGTCATACAAGAGCGCCCCACAAGAGTGACAAAGAAGAGTGTCCCACAAGGGTGTCCCGCAAGAGTGCCCCAAAGAGTGTCCCACAAGAGTGTCCCGCAAGAGTGTCCCACAAGAATGTCTGACAAGTGTCCTACAAGAGTGCTCCACAGGAGTGTCCTACAAGAGGCAAAAGAGTGAGTGGGTAGAGTGAGGGGTCATGAAAAGCACTTTTGGGTGATAGCTACCGAAGCACACTAACCATGATGAATGGATATGCCTAACCTGCTTTAACTCCATGTTTTAACTCAATGTTCATGTACCAACAAGTACCAAAAACCTGTTAATACATCAGCCGATCCATCGAGGTAGAATTCGAAGGGCGCCAGAATTCACTTGCATGTTGCACGCGGGTAAAGGGAAAAATGCACCGGTATGTGGCTTGGTCAGTCACCAGTCAAGTCGGTTTTGGTCCATTTCCCGAAGCAAGGGAATTTCTTGGAGGACATGCTGTCAGAGCCCCAACGTCACGACGCGCGATATACCCACACACGGTCACACAACGTAACACGCGGCCACAAGATGTCTACAGTTCTTTGAGGAACTGACCCTGGGAAGGTTACCGGTTGACACCTCATACTAATGGCTGCGTTGCAGGTAGTCACCAGTGGTTCTCCCGGTTTCACTGAATTTCACATCCAAGTCTTCAATCTTGACATCTCTTGGATGCAACAACACCCTCAGAAGGTACGGGTGTGGGTTTCAATAGTAGGGAGACCTCCCAGGTTTCGGTTCGGGAAGTTCACCCAGCCAGGGCCTTGGGCCAGGGTGTCTCCCTATATGAGAGTGTATTAACATAGGAATCGACCCCCGGGAAGGTTCAGCCGCTTGGGGGCCAAGCGTGTTTCCCCAGTTCTTGTTGAGATAGGACGTGCTGAGAAAGCAGGTGCGCAGTGACATGTTTCTTCCTTTTTGCGTAGACGCTCGCGGAAGCAGCGCGTAGGCAAGAAGCTATTGGCTGCTGCTACTGCTTAGGTGCACCTCCACGGCGAACCGCGGAGAACCAACCGGCGCGAAGGACCCGTTCGCCCCTTCGGCCCCTGCGAGGGCTCTTTTGAGGGCTCTCTAAGATGTCCTTTGATAGCTAGAAAATGTAATTAGAAACAGCTTGACAGTGATCAAAAGTGGTGTAAAATGCAGGAAGACATACCTGAACAGTGTTAGCTTATATGTTTCTTTTGTCCGGATGTTCTAAGATGTCCTTTGATAGCTAGAAAATGTAATTAGAAACA